ACCAACCCTACCTATGACATCATCGAGTTCAAAGGGGATTCCCCATGCGTTCCTATGTACACGTAGTGCTTCACCTCAGTGTTACTTTACCCCTCCCCAATACTCCTCAGTATTACAAACCTACCGGTCTAGCTTAAGGGTGTTGAACGATGCTTGTGCGATAACAGGTGTTTGGGTGGGAAAAGTTACAACCAATCACGGTACACAATTTATATCAAACATTCATATCTATAACATTACCTCTTTCAACATATCAATCCAGAGAGCCCCGATTCGAAGTACTAGGTACAGATAACAGCCTCAGTCACTGAAATTTCAAGACAGAAACGGTAGACAAACGAGTGCACAAACCGTCAGCGCTGCAGTGTGCAGCCAGGGCCCACAGAAACAGAAGTGTAGTAAGGACTGCAGAGCTCCCCATGGTCGATACGAACCTCTCAGGCTTCAAGCACCACACTGTGAGAGAGCTTCCGGCTGGTTGACCTTTTCAACTTTAACAGGTGTGGCGCGAAAGCTACGTCACTGTGAAAACCACAAGCCCCTCCCGGGTTGATTATTTACATGGATCAGTGAGCAACGGACTCTTATCTAAGGCCACACCAAGTAAATATTATGTATGGATGATGTCCGCGCGCGCATTGATTTTGGCCTGTTCCGAGAAAAAAACCCAAGAAATTCCGCTTCCTGTAAGGCCATGTTGATTTGATTATATGGATGACATCCTCTGGGAACCCCAAAACTGATGCGTGCGTGCGAATAAAAAAAAGTTTTGCAAAAAAAAAAAGTTGCTTTCACTATGAAATCTACGTGGTCATGAAGGTTGAACAAATGGCACAGAATATGTTATGGCGAATAATCTACTCTTCGAATTCATTTCTTTACATTTTTGTCTTTTTTCCTTTGATTTTGGCATTCTACGACATTGGTATCGTTTCTAAATGTTTTCCTTGCAACTTATGGTATATTTTTGCTCATTTAGCAACTGTTTTGCAAGATTTACAGTATGGTTGAAAACTTTTTTTTTTTTGGAAACGGCCGAAAATTCATGCGCGCGCGGATGTCATCCATATAATCAAATCAAGATGGCCTAACTATGACCAAAGAGTCACGACAGTGCTGATTCGTCAGATTGACGTTAAACCCGTAACACGAAAACAGGACAGGACAGTTCCACCTGATTTATTGCTGTTTTGATGATGAATAAAAGACTTCTTGCTTGTTACACTGTGTCACCTCATTCAATTTGTGTCCTAACATTTGTCGTCTCTTAGTATATTTCTAATCTAGGCATCTTGTTTTTAGGGCCCTTCTTGTGTTTTTTTTCGCCCTCTCGCATTAGATTTAGGGTCTCCATCCATAAAATTTACTTGGTGTGGCCTAATCTGATCGCAAACAATAATCAATTATAGTATCCGGTACTCTCCACGCGGATGTTGATGGGGGAAGATCGTTACCTTTTTATATATGGCCCGTTTTTTGGCGCTACCCCCACCCACTTTGGATGGCGTATTGGACCCTCTGGCCAATGGATACTGCCTGGCCAGTTTGAAACTGTCTTGTTGGCAACCTAGGATCTGCTTGGAGATTAGTATCCGGAGGATGTACTCTCAATAGAGGAAAAAACGGAAGGCTACGTCATTATAACATACTTCCCTTTAAATCGACAAAACCTTTGAACCCCCCCGAAAATGTGCTGTCAAACACATAACCGCTTGTGATGCAATCTCCACAGACGTCTAGGGGCTTCTCAGAACCCGCTTATTTCGGATACTGGTTATGTTTCCTTATGGCAGGGTAATAGTGTCAGGTCGGATTTTATATGTCGGCTAAATCCTTCTATTATACAATCAATATGTACATGTTTATCCATGACTATGTGGTGCTTTGCCCGACACTTAACTCAAAAGGCATCACTGTTCCAAACACACGGACTAGTAGGCTACGGCAGTCACACCTACATCTAGTGGGGCAGATAACTGAAATAATCTTTCAAATTGTGATACAAGTACCAAACTTGGTACAAATACTCATGAGACATTACCCTCTTGAAAAAGATTTTACGTCACTTTTTCCTTACTTTAACAGCTTTTTACCACATAAAAATCATGACTGTAGCATGTTTAGAACAGGAGATACAAAGCCCGGAAGGTTGGCTGCAGTACCAAAAAGCGCCGCTAGGGGGCGCCAAAAGTGAAATCAAGTGGCCCGCGTACTTTTTCAAAAGAGTAATGTCTCATGAGTATTTGTACCAAGTTTGGTGCTTGTATCACAATTTGAAAGATTCCTCCAAAATGTGATGTTATCTGCTCCACTAATCACACAGTCCACCTCTACAGCCTCAAAATCCAGACTCATTTGGACCACTTCTTGTTCTTTAGTACTCTTGTTCTGTCTCTGCTTTTGTTGCCACTATATAACTATCGATATCATTTAAATTTTACACCGTCTTATTTCAATTGAACAACCAACGCAACTGGAGAAGGGCATCGTAATGTAACTTTTGCAAGGGTAACGTTGGGTCGGAAGTTTTTAAGAATCATGTTACAGTCGTTCACAATTCAATGTTGTAAACATTAAACAAAATGCCGCCAATCAGTGAATATTGGCAAGTCAGAGCTAGTCGGCCTTTGTAACAGAAATCAAACACGCGCCCTACACTACTTCTAATTTATTTCTTGAAATAAACACTTCGTAGCTTTGACATGTCATGAATACTTATGTGAACTCGACATATCTACTAGAGAAGTAACATTAGCAAAGCAAACGCATGATGTTTACCTTCGGACATGGTCTGCTCTGTTAATTCTTACTCAAACACATGCACATGAAGTACTACTAGTACAAGTATATGGTGACAGGAGCAGAGCAGACTACGAAATTGCAACATTATGTAACCCAACACCAGTCACCATGGTGACATACGTCGACAAATCATGTCATTGGTCAGGTGATAGGTCACTGTTTGGAGAAGAAGAAGAAGAGGAGGAGGAAGAAACTAAGTAAAAACAATATGTTTCCCTTTGGTAAACATAATAACGTGATTGACATGGGAATGTTTATCCACAACGTGCTTTGCCGGATACAGAAAACCCTCTCCAAAATTTAGTGCTCATGACATGAAACAGCATGCCACCGATCAATAAGAATGGATCAGAAACAGCAAGTCCTTGTTAGCCTGGGTAACATCCTATTTGTATGCTGGGGCTCCCATACTCCCCTCCCGAAAAATATTCTTAGGGAGCGAGCCCCGGCATACAAATAAGACCATTTTGATTTGATTATATGGATGACATCCGCGCGCGCATGAATTTTCGGCCGTTTCCAAAAAAAAAAGTTTTCAACCATACTGTAAATCGTACAAAACAGTTGCAATATGAGCAAAAATATACCATAAGTTACAAAAAAAATTAATAAAAACTATACCAATGTCGTAGAATGCCAAAATCAAACGAAAAAAGACGAAATTGTAAAGAAATGAACTTGAAGACTAGATTATTCGCCAAACCATATTCTGTGCCATTTGCTCAATCCTCATGACCACGTAGATTTCATAATGGAAAGAACTTTTTTTTTTGCAAAACTTTTTTGTATTCGCACGCGCGCATCAGTTTTGGGGCTCCCGAAGGATGTCATCCATATAATCAAATCAACATGGCCTAAGATGACACCAAGGCTTTGTAAGCATAAAAAACAAACAAACAAACAAAACACATGTACTCTCACAATTATGAAATAACACCTGTACAAGTGACGCAAGACTTCTCAGATATCACGGTATCTGCCAAGTCTCAAATAGTGGAGCAGATAACATCAAATTTTGGAGGAATCTTTCAAATTGTGATACAAGCACCAAACTTGGTACAAATACTCATGAGACATTACTCTTCTGAAAAAGTACGCGGGCCACTTGGTTTGACTTTTGACGCCCCCTAGCGGCGCTTTTTGGTACTGCAGCCGACCTTCCGGTCTTTGTATCTTCTGTTTTAAACATACCACAGTTATGTGGTAGAAAGCTGTTAAAGTAAGGAAGAAGTGACGTAAATTTGGTGTCTCTAGCAGCTTGCGTTGGAACTGCAGGGGCGTTTGTTACCGGTGCACAATTTGCTCCAAGGACGCTCTTTGGTACTGCAGCCGACCAAAAAGTCCTCTCCTTGGAGCAAATTGTGCACCGGCATAAAACGCCCCTGCAGTTCCAACGCAAGCTGCTAGAGACACCAAATTTACGTCACTTCGCAAGTTTAGAACAGGAGATACAAAGATCACAAGTCAAATCAAGTGGCCCGCGTACTTTGTCAAAAGAGTAATGTCTCATGAGTTTGGTGCTTGTATCACAATTTGAAAGATTTTTTCAGTTATCTGCCCCACTAAAAGTTCAATGGCAACTTGCACGCCCTATTATATAGGGCTTACAATTGGGCACATCAATGGCAAGATATACAAAATGAAACCACTCTTTCTGAAATGTAAACGTATCAAGAAAAATGAAAGATATACAGATTCAAAAATTCCCCAAATCAACTTTTTACCTTCATGTAGCTGCTCGGCATTCTCTACATATATTATATGTACACTTCTACATCAATCCATCTATTAAATACCCATGTAGGAACCAAATTAGCTGACATCCTTAGCAAGTGGTAAAAGCTAGGCAAAAAAACAATAAGAAAATGTTGCATATGCATATTTACACAATTCATAATCTTACACATACAAAAACAATATACCACAAAAGCATATCATTTTCCTGTATACTATACTATATATTTTCAACATGTTATAAGCTATACAATTTTACTTGTGTTTTTCCAAGTCCTTTAGTTTGCCTGAACTGCACGTTCCACAGACGGGTACTCCTGATTGGTTAACGTCGCCGTCTGACCCACCAATCCTGTGCCGTTGCTGCCATTCAAATTTCCCGTTGCCAACGGCACCTCATCAGAAGTACTAGTGACTGCTTCACTGACAGACGGGTAGCTGGGATTGTTCTCAGGCTCTAGAGTTTGACCAATGTGTGAGTTAGCTGCCTGATTTTCGCGTGCGGCCATCGGTTGTGGATTTTGGAATGTTCTTTGAGAGCTGGTGACGGCTGTCTGAACTTCTGGATACCCGGGATTGTTTGGGTGGTCGGGTGGGTACTCAGGAGTGGCCTGTAGGTCATTGCTGACGGTCTCGTTTACGTGAAGGTCGATTGTTACGGATTCCGTCACGGCCCCCTGCTGTTGACTTGCCTGCTGATGACATGAAAGTTCTGTGAGTTGGTCCACAGCCTGTACTGGTACTGTTGTCTGCTCCTGGACCCCAGACACTGGTTGTACCGGCACACTTGTTGGTGTTGTAGGAACCGTGTTGCTCCGCTGGAGAGCGCCGTGCGGACAGGACTGGCTGAGGAGGAGACGAGCCCTGTTCATGTCTCCCGCCAAGTTGCCCTCGGCATCGTAGTGCAGCTTGTCTGCGCTGTCCGGTAGACACGGGTCTGAGCCGGACTCCTCCCTGGACAGCTTCGTGTTGTGCAGTCCCATGGCCAGCTCGCCCTATTATACGAAACGCATGAAGGAATAAAAAATTAACATAAAATAACTGACCACTTTTTAACAAGAGTTCCGAGACTCCATACCTCCATGAAATATGGTCTTGACATGTAAATGTAAATTTCTTCTTTAATTATGCAAATGACCTCTGCATTAACATGATATATGCATCGTGATGTATGTTAACTTATGATTAACTTGTCCCGACAGATGTCCCAAGTATGACATTCTCATCATTCACCATTAAGAAATCATAGAATTTTCGCATTAATAATGCAAATTAGGTCATCATTTGCATATTTAGTATCTGTTGATGTTCCGCGTGACATAGGTTACATACATTACATGTATGAAAGTAATATAATGTAAAACACTGTGATTATATAATTTCCTCATTAATTATGCAAATAAAGTCCTCATTTGCATAATTTACATCTCTCTCTCTCTCTCTCTCAGCTACCTACACACCAAAACCGGCTATATAATAATAAGGAAATAACAGCACTCTGATTTTACTACCGGACATATTCACTCACCCCTGATTCAAATCAATCATATCTATTGTATTTATGGTCCTTCAGTATACTTCCTGGTGATGGTAACTGTATATGCTCTTTCATATATATATATATATATATATATATAAAAGCAGCGAAATATTTTTTTCGACTTACCAGGTTGACTGTATGTGCGCGAGTTTTCTGAAAGTCTGTGGCAAAACACAAGACAGAAGGCAAAATGTCAACAGTTATATATACAGTATTACTTTGTAATAAGATATACAGAGCACCAAGTGTTATGTATATAATATGTTGTAGCATCGCACGTTACAAAAATCCAGCACAATCCAGACGTACATGTACCTTGTACTTTTGCCAGGTTGATTTTTTTTGAATAATAACAAACAATAAAAACAAAAAAATATGGCACATAGTAAATCCCCCATGACCAACCCTATCAAGATTAGTTTTCATGTAACATACTATAAAATCATTATTTTTACACTGATGATATTATAACTTATTGGTTGATATTGTGAAAATTGTTAAGCTCATTTTACGCACGTATTTAGATGTCTATATGTTAACTGTGAAATACTCACTTGTTTAGTTGTCTATTTGTTAACTGTACAATATTTGTTTCTCTGTTTTTAAACACTAGCATACAATTCAGCGCTACTTTTTTAGTTGCGCTGCCACATGCTAGAGATTGTACTCATCGATCAATCAATAAACAATTATTATTATTATTTCATAAAATTGAAATAAGAATATACCTTTTCTTCTTTTTGCTTCGTTTGAATGGTTGAACGCCTCGACTGCGTCGTTCCTTTTCAGCTGCCTTAGATGTTCCATGAGACGCGATGTGGGGTAGTTCGGGTCACTCCTGCCCAGTATCTCCAGAAGCTTCATCGTGGGGCTGCCTGGTGCCACGCACGCGTTCAGTTTCTTTAAAAAAAATAATAAATAAATTTTACGGCTCTCAGTGGCAGATATGAGATGTTGTCACATCGGCGCACCAAATCCGTAAGGTGTTTTTGGCACCTTGACAGACAGATTAGCCTGAGAGGCTCGGTGGGCGTCACTCCACCGTACAGGTGGGGAAGTCGTGTAAAGTGCCTTTCCCAAGGGCACAATGTCGGGCCACGGTGAGTATCGAACCCAGGACCTCTCGGTTCCGAGTCCAACGCTCTAACCGTTGCGCCACCGACGCCACGTGTTCAGTTTCTTATGTAAAAAGAAAGAAAAGTTAGAGAAGAAGAACAGCCAGATTGTCTGGACTTTCGTCAAAGAAATGACTGAGCGGTCATTGTCCTGCCTCTGGACTAAGAGGTTGGGAGTTCGAATCCCGGCTGATGTCGCTCACCCGACATACACGCTACTGTTTAGGGTCACAGTCCTTCGGACGGGACGTTAACCGTGGTCCACTGTTCATTGTGCTTGTCGAAAAGAGCAAGGGGAATTTCCCCGGTACAATGAACCTGTAAATACTGTACATAGCGTCTGTCTTCTCTGTCACGACCAATACAAGATTAGCTCTTCAATGAGGTAAACTGGTTTGAGATCAATTTCTTTCTTTCCTATCACAGGAACTACATTATCCTCATTTACAGTGACACTTACGAGTCCTTGTCATGTTCAAATGTTTTCCAGTTCCTTCACATGTGATTGGTGTCGACCTGTGTTCTCAGTTCATTAAGTTGGAATGCGGTTTATTATTATGACGTAAATCACATATATCACAACAGTCGCAGCCCGAAGGCTGAATTGATGAAGTGATATTACAGAAATCGACTGCAACACATGATTAAAGTGACGCTGAAGAAAAATGTCCTGAGGTTATTTCAGTTAATTATCCAAATAAATTAATTAATGTATATAATTGGTGTCGTTATACTTACATAAAACATAGATAAACAAAGGTACGAAGCATAAACAAATAAAAAAGAAAGCAACTGTAAAACTTAAAATATTACACATAAGGCACATAAGATCTTGTACAATACAAAAAAATTCTCTCACCTAGAGCTTTCGACCAGTCACTGAGAGAACTTTTTTTTGTCTTGGGCCAAACGTTTTAACTCTAATTATGTAACTATAGCTACCAACACAGATGAACTTTCATGATCACATAAGATCTTCATTCATGCAAAAGAAAACTTATTACCGCTGCGAATCCTTCCTGTAAGGTTCCTTCAGCCTCCAGTCTGCCGGCTAGAGCCTGCCAGTCGTCCCGACTGCCGGATGTTCTCAGCACCGGGTCCCTGTCCAGTTTGTCGGCGATGGCCTGTTTCTGCTCCGGGGTCATGCTGCTGATCACGTTTATATTTATCTAAAAGAGAAAATGAACCAGTTAGTAGTATATTCATCAATCAGTGACTCTTTTTTAAAGGGAAAAACACGTACCTCCAAATTTTCGATGTCTACTGTGCATCTTGATCACGGAGTGACCTAGTCTCGCGAGAACACGAGACTAGGTCGAGACTTGTGTGGAGCTTCTGACCTCCCCCGCCTCCTTGCGGGTCAGGGGTAGGTAGGACTTGGGCCCGGGCAGCTCCCAGCCTTCATTGCGATTCATCAATTTGGAGGTACGTGTTTTTACCTTTAAGAAGAGTGATTGATGAATATACCACTAACTGATAATTCTACGCGACTGATGAACCTCTTCAAAGAAACATTGAACTTTATTCCAACACAAGGTTTACAGAGCGATCAAATTTTCGACGACCACTGTCGCCTTCATCAGGATAATTAATGACCAATCACTTCACAACGCAACGTGATCTCGCGAGAGTTACGGTTTACAAACACGTGACCTTATTCACACAAGACTTTACTGATACCTGACGTCAGCAATTGATAAAAAATGCCAGGGAGTTTAGGCGATGAAAGCGACAGTGGTCGTCGAAAATTTGATCGCTCTGTAACCCTTGTCTTGGAATAAAGTTCAATGTTTTAATATGATTACTACCAACACAGATGAACTTTCGTGATAATCTAAGAAAATGAACCAACTTGAAGATTGTTATAGAGAAACATTTTATAAGTTAACATGAAAGTTTATCTGAGTTGGTAAATTAGATAATGAGAATTAAACCGTTCTCAAGCTCAAATATATTTTACTCATCAAAACTCTCCGGAGAGGCGAAAAGGAAGCCATCTACATCAGGGCATACCAACCTTCTCTCAACCGGGACGGGGGGCGGTACCGACTTCCAACGAACTTTGACCCAGTGATGACGTCACACGTGGGAAAAATCACGTGTCTACAGCACTTGCGTCCGAAATCTGATTACGGCCGAGCGACGGTTTAAAATTTTGGTGAGTAAATTTCTTTTGGAGTTGGAGAACAGTTTAATTCTCATTATATAAGTTAATAACACAAAGTACAAAATAACAGACGTCTGTACAGTATTATGAAAACACTACGATCCAGAATGACATACAGCAAAAGAACTCACACAGTTTCAACTCTCTATACAACCATGACATCACAATTCCTGACTGAATTTTACCAATCCCACCCTTACGTTGTTTCAGTGATAGGGTATATTCTACAGTTGGGGGCCGTATGGTTTATAGATTCTTTATTGACACAACAAAAAAGTATGTGTGTAAAAATGTAAAAAGTATGGCAACAAGCAAATTACATGTACAACTCTCAACGCTCTACTCTCCTTGGCAAACTATCCAGGCTCTTAGGACACACCCTAGATTTTATAACTCTTTCTGACAACGCAAAAACTGACCTTTTACTCCGTGGCAGTACCGCATTCTCATCAGTTGTTAACTCCAATATATTATCACTTACCCAAAACTTCATCACCACATCAGAACGTTTTTAAAAGATTTCAATTTTCCCCCTTTGCTATCTATGTACTGTGTCCTCTTTGCCATCATTTATAATTGGGTGGGGAACCGGACCTGCGCTCTTAAATTTCCTGTATTTACTGTTTTTGCCTGTCTTAAAGTTGCGTTTGTTTTTTTCCTTATTATATGTATTTATTTCAGTGGTGCCGTCAACATAAGTGCTTTCCACTTGAGTGCGGCACCACCATGTCCTGTACCTTTTTCTATGTGAATGAATAAAAAAAAATTACATGTAACCCACCTCCTCCATGACAGTCGATGTTCCAACTCTCGCCACCGTCCCGTCTGCGGTGATGACGATGCACGTCCTCATCAGCACGTCTCCGATGTTGCCAGTCTGGCTGGCCAGCGTCCTCAGGTCCCGGAAGTACTGGTCGGTAAACGCCGCCCGGTAGTCCCTCTCCGGGACGTGCGAATTCTGCAGTCTGATGACGTTTCGGACGTTGTCATATTTGGTAAACTTCAAGGACAGGGTTCCGGGTTTGGATTGCCCCACCTGCACAAACATATAGCAGTGCTATCAGATTCTACAACAAGAAATGCTTTTCAAAAACCTGGCTGGGGGGGGGGGTCTTAATGTGGGAATGGCTGGTTGTTTTAGCCTTCGGACTACCACGACAGAACCACCAGAAACAGAGACAACAAGAGTTCCACGATCTCATACCTTCGCCAAATGATGTTAACCCTTGCGGTTGAAGAATTATACAATTTTAATAATTGATTTTGCAAATAAGATCCTCATTTGCAAGGGTTATATCAGTTGATCATATTCTCCACCCAATGACAGTCTTATCTTAACAAAAAGGCTATTGTAGCACTTCCTCATAAATTATGCAAATGAGGTCATGATTTGAATAAATTATGTTTATTGATGTTCGCCTTCACTTAACTTCCAAATGTGGCAAGTATGAAATTCCCAGCAGTTACAACCATGAAATTATAAAAATTTCCCATTAATTATGCAAATTAGGTATTTATTTACATAATCTATATCCTCAGATTTTTTCATTCTCAATTACATGTCACAAGTGTTTCATAGTCCTATTATCGAACAAAGCAGAGTTTTAGAATTTCCTCATTAATTATGCAAATTAGCTCCTGATTTGCATAATTATCATTTGATTATGTCAAGCATCACTTCAGCTACCTACATACCAAAAATCACGTCAATCCGTCAACCGGTTACTTAGTTATCATCCTTCGAAAATTTTTCAACAAATGCTCCTGCAGTTCCAGAACAAGCCGCTAGGGGGCCCAAACTCATGTCACTTCTTCCCTACCTCATGAGCTATCTACCAACCAAAATTCGTGACCCTAGCATGTCCAGATCGCGAGATATCAAAACCGGAAGTTCTGCTGCAGTACCAACAGAAGCCGCCAGGGGGCCCAAAATCTAATCATTTCTAGGTCTCATCAAGACCTACCCACCTACCAAGTTTCATGACAATGCATACTAAGCTTCTTGAGTTATGCTGTTCACAAACAGACAGACAGACAGACGGACAAACGCTACTGAAAACATAACCTTCTTGGCGAAGGTAAATATAGACCAATCCAATGCAGGACTGACTGACTCAGGAACTCCCCCATAACTTAAAGTGTTCGCCTTTTAAATGCTTGATCGAATAGTTAATGTTTAAAACTTTCCGTTTAAAACTTTTAGTATAAAACTTTCCGTTTTATACTCGTATTATGGTACAAATGTTAAATTTTATCATACACCAACGTTATATTTATATATAATAATTGACCCTATGTTTTATCTTAATACGAGCTCTGAAAATGTTTGTAACGAATCCGCAATTCAGCCCGCGGGGGAAACGTTGCAACAGCCCAGGGCTACACGTAGATAAAACAGGACAAGTCGATAGGTGTAATGTAGTCAGCTGCCGCCGCGCCGCGTGCCTGCGAAGCTGGTGTGTTACGCCGAAGGGCGGTTATACCGGCTACACAGATACAGATACAGGAGTGCTAGACAGGCCTACAGGACAGAACGGACATAACACTGAGGCGAATGTGCAAATTACTTCTAGCCTCCCAACCACCCAACCATTGAACATAATCATCCCCAGCAAAAATCGTTACTCATACATATCATAGCCACAATCATGCGCACAGTATGAAAGCATTGGTTCTTACTTAGCCCTGGGAACTCAAAGTTCTTTTTCGTTTTTGCTTTTTCACTTTAAGTAAATTGTCACTGGGTACTGAATGGAACAGGAAAGATACTTAAGTCTAGAGAAAAATTGAAATTGGATCGGTTGCTCCGTAATGTAGTACTGTGTTTGTGACTTACCACTTAATTGGGCATGGGAACCACGTATTGTGTCTCAAATTAAATCTGTAAAGAGACAAAACTGCATCAGCTTACCTGGAAGAACATGTCCCCTGCCTCGAAAGGTACATCGGGAGAAACCAGGTGAACCAGTCGGTACTTTGACGTGCAGAGAGGGAACCCCTGAGCACAGAGGAAAACATCAGAGAATGTGAAATTTGAAAACAGCTTAATCCTACCAGTAACTTGGATGCCAGACTTTTCCCAGGACAAATGCATACACACAGGCCCTGAGAAGCTAGCCTGGTTACCGGGGTCTTTGGAGGGGATAAAGACTCGGAAGCTAAAATAGATTTGGTATCTGGTGGCGAGGCTACTGAGAAGCAGGGTCTAGTTAGATTCTATGAGGGCGTGTGGTGAAATTTCGTCGGGGACAAGTCTGGAGCTAGCCTGTATACTGGCCCTGGCAACCGTCTGGCACCCAGGCTATTTTACTAAATGTCTAGATCTATTTTGTTTGAAATCGGAACAAAGTAGAATACTGCTTCGAAGGTTACATATTCATATATACTAAAACAAGGCTTCTTACCTGGTTCCGCAACGTTGTCAACAGCTGCAATGTTGGCTCTACAAAACGTTCTCTGAAGTCGTCCACGTTGCCGTTGTATTTTGTCTGCAGTACCTGCCTCAGACCCTCTTCTGTTCCCCTGTACTTGGCGCTGTACTTGCCAAAGCAAGCCTGTATGAGACCCTTACACATGTCTGCCATCGCTGGGTCCATCGTCTGTCACTGTGGGTAATTATATAAGGCAAACATCATTAACATTTCAAAAGCCTTTAGGTTTGCTTCAGCTCTGATATTACGTTGTCTTTGTCTACAACTGTTAGTGGAGCAGATAACATCAAATTTTGGAGGAATCTTTCAAATTGTGATACAAGCACCAAACTTGGTACAAATACTCATGACACATTACTCTTTTGAAAAAGTACGCGGGCCACTTGATTTGACTTTTGGCTTCAAGGGCGCTTTTATTGCTTCGGAAGGTCGGCTGCAGTACCAAAAAGCTCCTGCAGTTTTAACGCAAGCAGCTAGAGACACTAAATTTACGTCACTTCTTCCTTACTTTAACAGCTTTCTACCACATAAAAATCATGACTGTAGCATGAACAGGAGATACAAAGCCCGGAAGGTCGGCTGCAGTACCAAAAGTCAAATCAAGTGGCCCGCGTACTCTTTCAAAAGAGTAATGTGTCATGAGTATTTGTACCAAGTTTGGTGCTTGTATCACAATTTGAAAGATTATTTCAGTTATCTGCCCCACTATTTATGGACAGACAGACTGCACATACGGCCTGAGTGAGTGATACGTGGTGTACATGTAACAGCTGTTTGGTATCTTTTTTATATCCGAAGGATTACTAAGGAGTGCTGTAATCATAAGGGGTAAATCTTTACTGCAGTTTGCGTTAATGATAATCGATAAGCGTTAATGATAACGCTGATACTGGTCGATGTCAGGAAGTCGTTGTTTTAATTCACTTTCAGACATAACATCCGTTCTCAACCCTCTAAGCCCGGCCCTTTGGCAAGTAAAATCAGATCCATGTGGCAGTCACTGCAGATAAAATCGGGAACACGTACTAGTGTGTGATATTAAATTAGGCCATTTAGTAAATTTTATGGATGACGTCCGCGCGCGCACTGATTTTGGCCTGTTCCTAGAAAAAAACCCAAGAAATTCCGCTTCCTGTGACTATGACCAAAGAGTCACGACAGTGCCAAAAATCGTCAGATTGACCTGAAACCCGTAACGCGAAAACAGGACAGGACGACAACTGCTGTTCCACCTGATTTAGTGCTGTTTTGATGATGAATAAAAGACTTCTTGCTTGTTACACTGTGTCACCTCATTCAATTTGTGTCCTAACATTTGTCGTCTCTTAGTATATTTCTAATCTAGGCATCTTGTTTTTTAGGGCCCTTCTTGTTTTTTTTCGCCCTCTCGCATTAGATTTAGGGTCTCCAAAGGACGTCATCCATAAAATTACCTTATCTATATTATTGCTAAAGTCTCCCAACCCATTTATTTTTCAAAGAGTCAGACAATTCATCTCCCACTGCCTCCTGAGAAGAAGTCAAACCCCCTAATAGTTTAATAGGATAGAATAGAATAGAATCGATTAGAATAGCAGTTACCTTGTTCCTCTTACCTGTTCATATATTGCATATCTACTGTTTATCCTGTATGTATACCAACGTTATTAGATTTAAGTAGAGATAGTAGGTTTGATAAGTATATCGTACACGTAGAACTTCATGTTAGCAAATAGTCTTATATCACCACATTTTTCTTGTCAATGTCTGTTTGCAATTAGCCCTCGGGCATGAATTTGCCACAAACAACAACTATTAAAAACCTTATGATTTCTCGATCATGAACGATATACGATATATGACCTGCGGGCGACAAATATCACGTAAATAAGGGACCTTTGCTGATGAGTGCAGAAAGGATCGTTACGCCATGTTGATTTGATTATATGGATGACATCCTCCGGGAACCCCAAAACTGATGCGCCCGTGCGAATAAAAAAAAAGTTTTGCAAAAAAAAAGTTGCTTTCACTATGAAATATACGTGGTCATGAAGGTTGAAGAAATGGCACAGGATATGTTATGGCGAATAATCTACTCCTCGAATTCATTTCTTTACATTTTTGTCTTTTTTCCTTTGATTTTGGCATTCTACGACATTGGTATCGTTTCTAAATGTTTTCCTTGCAACTTATGGTATATTTTTGCTCATTTAGCAACTGTTTTGCACGATTTACAGTATTTTTTTTTTTTGAAAGATCTCTTCTAAATTATGTACATTTGTTGGAGGGACATACAGTCTTGCTACATATTTCTTATACAAGATTTTGTTTGTTACTTTCTGTATGTCTATTTCCTGTGTTTGTTCGTTAATATTACATACAGACATACTGTCAGGCTCTTTCAAGGTCGTTTTCCAACTCGTGGGGATGGATTCACGCAGCCCATAATATCTTAGGAGCTCTGATGCATTCAAGGAAATTGAATATTTTTTTCTTAAATCTTCAGGAGTTAAAATGTTACCATGTTCATCGGCTATGTCCTGAATTGTTTTTATTCCCTCTTCAAACAACTTTTTCCAGAAAATCGATTTACAGTTTTGTACTATGTATTGATTGTTCCAAAGAAATTCATGTCTTATTTCCTCCTTAGTTTGTGGGCGGTGTGAATTTAACTCCTCCCATGCTTCTAACATGCTTACATAAAAAGAAGGCATGTTCTTAACATTCAATGCTTTAACTGAGAAATTGCACTTTAATAAAAAAGTTCCCCCAAAGCAGTGGAAGTGATATTCTAATACATTTGTTGTGTATATTCTCTTTATCCAGCTGGCGTTCAGTGCCTTTAACATGCAAGTAAAATTCATCATATTTAAGCCACCTTGTTCCCTGTTTCCCATTAGGGTTGACAACTTGACCTTTGGTGATTTGTTATTCCATATAAACTTCAGTCCTATTGAATTGACTTTCTTATCAAAGTCTTCTGGGGCTTTGAGTACTGAACAATTATATATTAGTTTGGATACAGCTAGTGACTTAAATACGAGGATTTTTCCTATTAAAGTTAAATCTCTTCCTGACCAAATATTTAACAAGTTTCTCATTTTCTTCAACTTTTCATCAAAGTCCAGTTCTTCGCATTTCTTTCTGTCATAGGAGAAATGGACCCCAAGACATTTGATTGGCTTGCTTGGCCAGTGGACACCTAGAGGTGTGTCCTTTCTGTCCTTATTTGTACCCAGCCACATGGCTTCTGTTTTTTTCTTACTAACTTGAAGTCCTGAGCAATATTCAAACGTTTCTAAGACTGACAGAGCATTTTTCGCTGACTCAACTCCATTTGTCAAGATTGTGGTGTCGTTAGCGTACATTAGGTTTTTTTGTTAGCTGTTTGCTTATGATAATTCCGCCAATTCTTTCGTCTGATCGTATTTTATTGGCGAGTGGTTCAAGTCCTATTATGAAGAGTAGGCCCGAAAGGGGGTCTCCCTGTCTTACTCCTCTTTCAAGACTAAACCATTCAGAAATAAAGTCATTATTTATAACACAGCTACAAGCGTTTTTATACAGTACCGTCGGTACGATTTACAGTATGGTTGAAAACTTTTTTTTTTTGGAAACGGCCGAAAATTCATGCGCGCGCGGATGTCATCCATATAATCAAATCAACATGGCCTTACTTGCTAAACATTTCTGCAATGTTTTGTTTGGTTTTCGGTCAACAGGTTCGAATTTTTTTCTACAACTGTCGAAGGTTTTTCCGCCAAATGTCTTGCGGACATATATTCAATAAATATATATTTTTGTATTTTAAGCTTTTTGAAAATACCATACTATGACTACTCTCGACCCTCTCGATCATTGCAGATATTTTTTTTTAATTTACTCCGAAACATGTAATACAAGACGTGGTGACGGCACACTCAAGTTTTTTCAACTTATATTAATGCCGACACCAACACAGGGACAGTACAATACTCATTTACACCTGAGCGAAGTGAGGAAAGTCGTGTAAAGTGCCTTTCCCAAGGCACAAGATCGGTGGCATGTCAGGACTCGAACCCGGGGCCTCTGGTTCCGAGTCGAGAACGCTGCCGCTGCGCCACACGACCCCACATTGCAGATATGTTTTCTAAACTATACTATATTATACTGCACATTGCACATTATGCTTCTTGTATATATATTTTTGTATTTCAGCTTTGGAAAATACTATCAGTCAGTCTAAAGAGACCATGACTTGCACTGCTCAAAAATGGCATATTACAGTTTCTTCAGCTTTTGAAAATACCCATACATACTTCAAAATTGGGAGAACAAAACCCTCCCCAGTCTGTCCCATATATATACACGGACATAACAGGTGCCGATTTTCTGGGTCAGGCAGGGCAAAACCATTTCCGGGGAGGGGCGTAAGTTTTTTTTATCTCAGCCAGACAAGCATTGACAGGTGGTCAGACTGGGAGAATTAGACAAGGGTGCTTATGAGCTGCCAGCATATAGATAAGGCCACACCAAGTAAATTTTATGGATGACGTCCGCGCGCGCATTGATTTTGGCATGTTCCTAGAAAAAAAACAAGAAATTCCGCTTCCTGTAAGGCCATGTTGATTTGATTATATGGATGACATCCATGCGCGCATGAATTTTCGGCCGTTTCCAAAAAAAAAAAAAAATGTTTTCAACCATACTGTAAATCGTGCAAAACAGTTGCTAAATGAGCAAAAATATACCATATGTTGCAAGGAAAACATTTAGAAACGATACCAATGTCGTAGAATGCCAAAATCAAAGGAAAAAAGACAAAAATGTAAAGAAATGAATTCGAAGAGTAGATTATTCGCCATAACATATTCTGTGCCATTTGTTCAACCTTCATGACCACGTAGATTTCATACTGAAAGCAACTTTTTTTTTTTGCAAAACTTTTTTTTTATTCGCACGCGCGCATCAGTTTTGGGGTTCCCAGAGGATGTCATCCATATAATCAAATCAACATGGTCTAACTATGACCAAAGAGTCACGACAGTGCCACAAATCGTTAGATTGACGTGAACCCCGTAACGCGAAATGGGTAAAGAGCACATGCTTTGTTTCAGCAGGCCTGCAAAAATGTGATGAAAGAAACAGGACAGGACGATAAACGACTTCTTGCTTGTTACACTGTGTCACCTCATTCAATTTGTGTCCTAACATTTGTCGTCTCTAAGTATATTTCTAATCTAGGCATCTTGTTTTTCAGGGCCTTTCTTGTTTTGTTTTTGCCCTCTCGCATTAGATTTTGGGTCTCCAAAGGACGTCATCCATAAAATTTACTTGGTGTGGCCTAAGGCCTAAATAAACAAAATCTACATGAAAGTAGTAAGTACATGAAAGTCTGACCATTACCATAATGAAACATGTACGTGTCACTCTTTGTCTTAAGGGGAGATGTAGAGAATAGCATTTTTCAACCGTTGGAAAAACATGCACGCTTCATTTCCGGCGATTTTCTCTCTTTTTTGAATGAATGAAGACTTATTTTTGTCACCGTTATATTAAATAATAGATTTGATTGAAGCATGACTTATAAACAGAGCATGCTTTTGTGTAGCCTCTACCAGGCACCGCGGATCGCTGGAAAAATAGTAGAAATTGGCCGAAATAAAGGGATAGTATACCAGAGAAGATCCAGGGCCATAGGCGCCATTGGATCCAGGGCTCCAATTTGCGACCCACGGAGCTTCTATGGCCCTGGATCTTCTCTGGCATACTATCCCTTTATTTCGGCCAATTTCTACTATTTTCCAGCGATCCGCGGTGCCTGGTAGAGGCTAGCTTTTGTGTACATTTAGACTACAAGCCATTGTAAAATTGCACACTTTGGCAAGCATAACACATTTCCCCCGCATGTATGGTCACAGTTGGTATGAACACAAACAAGTCATGTGTATGGTTAAACAACCATGGATATGGAATGTTAGATAGGCCTTATACATTGTCAGTTCCCTAGCGTAACGTTTTAAATGGCAATTTGCAATTAGTCCCTTGTGACATTAAACATTGACAAATGGCGAGATTTCTTGTGCGCTTTACCTTGGTGGAATAAAATTTTCACACCAATACATAATTTAGCTGCTCTAAGGTAAGATTGCGTGTACTTGTATATACGGCAAATACAATACTACATATGCAACTACAACTGATAACAAGCGTAGAACGCACTACAAGCCCTTACCTTTAGTCCCAGTACACCGCCAACAAACTAACCACTCTCACAGTCGAGAATTTCCTCTTGAATTGACCCCCTAGCTTTCCGACTGGATTCACCGACGTGTAACTAAAAACCACGTCGGTAACTTTTATCCTAACCAAAAAGCGGAAGTTGTGAAAGTGCCAAATGCTATATTTAAATCGTATGCATACATATGTCTGTGACAGGATATTACATCATACCCGGATGGGCGGATGGCCGCAGTCAATAAGGCACCGTTTTCAAGTAATTATTTCGTGGAAAACGGAAGTGTTATAACATAACGGTCCCTTTGGTGAACCCTAAAGCATGTTAGATAAGGTTGTTTTTTTTATTCCAACATGTAATCACCAGACGTGGTGACGGCACACTCAAGTTTTATCAACTTATATTAATGCCGCCACCAACATAGAGGACAAATATATGACAGGGCAATACTCATTTACACCTGAGCGAAGTGAGGAAAGTCGTGTTAAGTGCCTTTCCCAAGGGCACAAGATCGGTGGCATGTCAGGACTCGAACCCGGGACCTCAGGGTTCCGAGTCGCGCACTCTGCCGCTACGCCACACGACCCCACAAGTTTAGGTTAGGTTTCAAGTCTATGTACTCCATTTACATCCCATAGATTAATGGCGGGTCAAAAACACAGATTTAATTTGGATCCTTAATCTGAACATAACAAACATGTTAGACACTTGCATGTAATCATGGGGACGTATTTTTAAGCAGGTGTTACGGGAGGATTATTCACCAATTTCACACTTTTGTTGGAATTAGAGAAAATGACGTACCTTCTATCGTTCCACCTTCTACCGAAGACTCTCCTACTCGCACTCCTCGCATGCATTACCGAGTAGGTGAGTCTTCGACTTCGGTAGAAGGTGGAACGATAGAAGGTACGTCATTTTCTCTAATTCCAACAAAAATGCAATTATGGCATGTGTTTTATACTAGATAAATAATTCAAAACATTAGTTGACCAGTTTGTCGATAGAATTTGTTGGAAATATTACATCGAGGAAGGGGGAGGGGGGATGGTTACGTCATATCCCTGCATATCCGTGACCGTTACTAGGCATTATGGGAAGTGTGAAATTGGTGAATAGGATATCCTCTAAATATACCCCCCCCCTCCCATTTTAGTAGTTGCACTAGTAGTAGCACTAACAAAACGAGGCATTACGTCACGATTTATCTAATCCCTCCCGGCTAAAGATCATTGCAGACGTACCTTAAGTTCCCAGGAACAGTTACCTAGCCCCCGTGACGACTTGTAAACAGCCGCGTAAACGCCGTACCCTGCCCGTCACTCTGTCTGTCAACACTTCCACGAACGAAACCTCGACGGGCTGTTTCTGAGACGGCACGCAGGCACTGGCGATAGTGAAACCTTTACCCCCGTGAGTGACTGAGTGTGAGTCAGCGCATTGGAATGAGGGGGCGTCCAACGTACGGAAAGTCCCACTGAAACCATTCAGTACAAAACAATCATGGCTTTCACGGGGACAAATCATTGTTGGTAGGGAGAAGGGGCTGAAAACACTGTGACCCACAACATGCTATAGTGTGTCCTTGGGTACGTATCAGATGATTAATGTACAATCGGTAAACAATTAACTGGTGAACAGAAAACAATTATCTAAACGTCGAAGTACATATTTTGACAGTTGAGTTTAGAAAACAGTACTATAATTATTTTTTCCATGAAATATAGAGAAAGGGCAGTGCCATTCTTTGATTGTTTGTTTTACCCTGCAAGTAATTACCTATATAACGTTTCTTGACAGGACAAATAAAGCCATAGGTACACCCCCGTAAATAAGGATATTTGGACTGTCCAACCCACTACAGAGTTCACAATCCTATCGATATTGTTTAGCGACTGGTCCGTGCAGTAGATAGCATCAACCAGCAAACTGGAACACTTATAACATCATGAGCTCACCTGGCCAGGTGAACCAGGGTCTTCTGGCGGCCCTCCGCGTCTTGAGAGAAGCCCTTAAAGGAGGAGAAAACTGGTCCTGTTCCTCGGAGAAAAGATTTCGGCTCTGCCACAGCCGGCGACGCTCGGTGACTGGTGGACCAGCGTTCAGGTAAAGCTGGGTCTGCTTAGGTTTTCTCGTGAAATGTACGAAATAAACTCCCTCAGTGGAATAAAATGACCACAATTCAGACAAATATCTCGTTAAAGCCTTTGAGCTGCGTGATTTGCCTCTGTAAAAGTCTCCACAGTACGATATCACGTCCCAAAGTTCACAACTGTACATATATGCATGTAACTTCCGGGTTCAAATTGTACGGTCGTTTTACGTGCAACAACGCCGACTGGCGTCAGTGATTATATTTGCAGTTACAAGGAATACGGCGATGAAGGTTATACATCCAGGTAGTAAGATACGCCAAAAAGCAGTTAGGCCACACAGTCTTAATTTTATGGATGACATCATCTGAAGACCCCCAAATTAGTGCGCGAGGGCGAATAAAATAAATTCCGGCCAAAAATAAAAATGCTACCAAACCACAGGAATACAAAGCTGGTATTGTGAATTTGTACATAGCAACGTCTACGACAAGCCGGCACATGCTGGCTTTTTGCGGAGTTTATGAATCGGCACTGTACGTATGTACTGAGTTCTTGAGTCGTGGAGCTTCGGTAGCCTGGGTGCCCGGCTCCGTATTGTCGCTAAGGCCACGCCGATTTAATTTTATGGATGACATCCTCCGAAGACCCCCAAAATAGTGCGCGCGGGCGAATAAAAAAAAATGCTACTAAACCACAGGAATACAAAGCTGGTATTGTGAATTTGCGGCAGTATTTAGCG